CACATACATAGCTGCGTGGTGAAGTCTGGAAGCTAACACCACAAACTGATAACCAAGGTAACTTCTGGGATGATGCAAAGAAGGGAAATTTTTTATTTTATTCAATATACTTCTGTGGGGAGCTCTGGTAGCATAGTACCTAAGGCACATGACTGCTAACCAGAAGGCTAGAGGTTCAAACCCACCAGCCACTCCTCAGAAGGAAGGTTGGGCAATCTACTTCCGTAGTGATATTGCCTTGGAAACCCAAGGAGGGGTCACTATGAGTCGGGTCCGACTCGACAACACATGACACATAACAACAACAACATACTTTTGTGTCGCTTGTAGTTTTAAAAATCATTGGATGAGTGTTCATCTATTACACAGGCCATATAAACATATAAGTATCTGTGTTAAGTCACACAGAATAAGGATAGCCATATGAAAGGACGCATTTAGTTTAACCTGACTGAGCTTGCTACACGCCAGAGACTGCTCAGTGCTTTTCCTGGGTCATCACATTTGATCCACATGACCAAGGACCAGAGACTATCTCCATTTTACAAAGGGGAAACTCAGGCTTGAGAAGTCACCAACTTTGCCAAGGGTTAAGAGTGTGTCAGCCAGGACGTGAACCCACATAGCTCAGCTGCCACAGCTGAGTTCTTGATCACTGTGGTTTACAGGCCTCCAGGACTCACTTCTTTCTGACTGCAGAGCTCATGCTCTTGGATAACATCCTATATACATCTTTGCATTATAGCATCAGAACCCCAGATCTCCAGACAAACCAGTCTTCAATGGAAAACACTACTCTCAGTAGGTTTCCCACATCATGCAACTCAAATCTTGCAATACAGTGAGCACCGAAGTGCCCTCAAGCTGTTTATCAGGGTTGCTTGCACAGAGATAAGCAGAAGAGCCTTGACTGGTGCTCCTGCTATGTAAGTCTGCAGAGTTTACTTAACTTCTCCATGCCTCAATTTCCCCATCTGTAACATGGGGCAACAGCACCTACCTCATAGGTTTATTGTGAAGATTAAATTAGATAATGCATGTAAAGAATTCAGAACTGTACCTGGGAAACTTTAGGTAGCTAATTTATACATAAATACTATTTTTATGAATATTTTTTAGTCAAAGCAAATTTTACACTATTAATTCAGCGATCGGCTAGCTGTTATAGACTCGTTCGCCCATGATTGTACCCAAGGAAAATGTCATTCTTCTCTACAGATCTCAGGAACTCGGGAAAATCACCACTGTGGTCCTCTCTTTCCCTTGTGTTTCTCCAAGTATCTTGGATTATCTCCCAGAAGCCGTATGATATTACACAGCAATTCCTAAATGTTATTCCTTGGACGAGGTGCCTTAGAATCACACAAATGGAGAGCTTCATAAGAATGTGGCTTCCTGGGCCAGGGCCCCCAGAGGGTCTTACTCAGGAGTCTACATTGGGCTGGAAATGTTTATTTCTCCAAAGCACCCAAGTGACTCCGGGTACTGATGGATTTGGGAACCACCAGAAACAGTGTGGGCTTTGAAGTGTGTGGAACTTAGGTTGAAATCCACTTCATCCATTTTTCAGTGGTGTTCCCCTTAAACAAGTTCTTAACCTCTCAGACTTAGCATCATCTAGAAAATGGGGATTACAATGACATTCTTGCAGAGGAGGTGCAAATGGTTAACACTCTCAGCTGCTTGGCTGGAAGTTCAAATCCACCCAGAGGTACCGCTGAACAAAGGCCTGGTGATCTGTTTCCAGAAAAATCAGCTATGGAGCAGTTCTGCTCTGACATACATGGGGTCACGATGAGTCAGAATCAACCTAAAGGCAATGAGTCTGGTTACTGGTACACAACACACACTTATAAGTGAGGGCTGTGATTACTACTCCTTCTGCAAAAGCAGGTTGCTACAAATCCTCTCTGTAGCAGTACAAACTGCCTGCTGCCGAAGCAGCTATGTGCCTCGTTCATCATTCTCCAGTCCTGGTCTCTGCATTTGAACCTCTGCAGTGACCCTGGACTAGCTGCCATTAGGATCCTGGTGGGCACCAGCTTACAAGTGTGCTGGTTATTCTCCATCCGCTGTGGGCCTTGGGGGCTGACCTCTCTGGGCTGCCTCACCAGGGCTCCTCTGCCTCCAGCTTCCATCTGGGATCTCCCAAAGGGAAGCCCCAGCACAAGATCTGGTATGTGTCCCTGTGCCCTCCCTGACACCTTGCTCAATCTCTGGCAGTGGCCCTGCCTTTCTACAGCCCTGGAGTCCCTTCTGCATGGTTCCAGCTCTGGCTGCCTCCAAAAACACTGCCCATCAGGTCGAGGGTTGCTAATGGCCCCCACTGTTCCCAGGCCCTGGGTGCTTCTCTGTCCTCTGTGGCTCTTTTAATCTCGTCCACCCGTCTGTAAGCAGACCCTTCATTAAACTCTCTTCAGATGAATGAAGGCTTTTGAGAACACTCAGCTTCCTGCCAGGCCCTGACAGAAACAACAGGGGAGGAGGTTTTCTCAATGAGAACTGTGACACAGTTAGAAAAGAGAGATGCAATAAATAATTAGGAGCTTTGGATACAGATGAATAATGTCCTGTTTAGGTTAAGACTTTGATTTTCATCATTTGAAGCTCCAAGAATTAAAGCAAGTCTCATCTACTAAAAGGCCACTGAGGATTCAGCTTACGAGCTAGAATTCTGACTTTCCCTTCAGCAGGGGCCCATCTCCTATCTCTGAGACAATGAGAGCGCCAGTCTAGGAAACGGGAGACACTGCATACTTGGTGAACATTTGTTCTGTGTCAGGCACCATATAAGCTGTTCTACACAGTCTCACTGGGGGCTGACAAGTACTATTAGCATCCCCATTTTTCAGATGAGGAAACTGAAGTGTAAAGATATTAAGGATCTTGCCCAGTTTCACACAGCTGGGTTGTGGATTGAACTGTGCCCTGGAACACATAAGTTGTCAATTCTATTATACCTGTTGTTACTCTCCCACTAGGGAATAGGGTTTTTCTTTGTTCCATTAAAGAGGCAATATTAATGTAGAGTGTGTCTCAAATCTCTCTCTTTTAAGATATAAAAGAGCAGATAAAGCAAACAGCAAAAGAGCAGAGAGGGGGGAAGACAGATGCTGTGCCACATGAAAATCACTAAGGAGCCAAGAAAGATGCTGAAAAGAGACAAGGACCTTCCCTCAGAGCCAACAGTGAGAGGAAGCCTTCCCTCAGAGCAGGCACCCTGAACTCAGATGGCTAGCCTCCTAATCCGTGAACAAGTAAATGTGTTTGTTAAAGCCACCCACTTGTTGTATTTCTGTTCTAGATAACTAAGACAGCTGGCAAACTGCAGAATCAGGTTTCAAACCTGAGCAGTCTGACTCCAGAGTCTGGACATGCATCCCTACTTCACTACATGCTCCTCCAAAGGAAGGGTCAGGGAGGAGGCCAAGAGCAAGGAGAGGCAAAGGTGAAGAGGAAGCACGGCCACTCTTTCTAAACGCCTCAGTGCACAGGTTGTGGACGCCATCAGCAGCGCCTGACAGTGCCTTCCCTCCACGGAATGCTCCCCACAGTGGACGTGGGTTTGTGAGGCAGATTCTAGCCACTGCCAGGTATCATCAGTCACAGAGGTCAGTCAGAATCAGAGGGGCGTTTGCAAAAACAAAACATGAAGAACTGCACCTTGTGAAGAGAGAAGTCTGTGATGAACTAGGATTCTCTGCAATATTATCAAATACCAACATGAATCCTGCCTGAACTCTTTAGAAGGATCCCTCTCCTTATTTGTAGAATTCCACAACACACATCATGAGAATAAATATTACCCAAATTTGAAAAGTGAACCAGAGACAAACATCTTAAAAAGCATTCTTGAGAAGAAAAAACAAGTACTGTTTACACACTGGATAATTTCATCCAGAGGAACCTTCCGTAATTCTTAAATCACTTTCAGCCATGACTTGTCTGTCAGTTTGTGACACTGTGGTACCTTGTGTGTGGCTGTGAGGCTGGAAGCACTACCACAGGCATTTCAAACACCAGCAGGGTCACAGGGTGGACAGGTTTCAGGGGAGCTTTTAGACTTGGACTAGGAACAAAAGCCTGGTGATCTACTTCCAAAAAGTAGCCAATGAAAACTTTACAGATCACAACAGAATACTGCCCAACAACAGTCTGGGAGATGAGCCCCTAGGCTGGAAGGCTCTACACAATGGCTGCAATAATGGATTCAAACATATAACAATCGTGAGGATGGCACAGGACCAGGCAATGTTTCCTTCTGTTATACGTAAGGGTGCCATGGGCTGGAACTCACATGACGGCTGCCTACAACATCACTTTCAGAGGCAACAACCCCTTGGCTAAATAACCAAAATACCAAGAAGATGGAATAGCTTTGCAAGGCCTTCCCACACCTAGCCCCTAATACAGTGCTTGTTGACAGGCCCATAATCCACTTCAAAGCCAGCCAGCATTCCATGCTGCGCCTACTGGAAAGTTTGACAAATGAGACAGTAGGAATTTCAAGATGTGTAGATCAATTAAGGAACAACAGAATAAACATTATACCTGTAAAATGATTTGTAGTCTGGACACAGCAGATGAGTCCTGATTCTCATTCTCCTTCATAACATTCACCTTGTTTCTGCATATATCTACCTTTCTCTCCCTGACAAGGGAAGACACGTAGGTGGTAGCAGACAAGATGAAAGATTCAGTCTTGTGCATATTACACAGTTCAGCTATCCAAGCAGAAAATAAAATGACAGGGAGTGGTATCTGTACTGAACAGTCAGAATGTAGCACACTGAGATACACTGTCAAATGGTTTCCCAATATTAATGATTTGCAGACAATTTGTCTATACGTTTTTAATGCAATTTTCAACCACTCTGGATTCTAGCTTTTTGACTGGATGGCTACAACTGAACTATTCTGCAAACAGAGCTGGCAGCAGGGATTCTAAGACACCAAGGTCTTAGAATTTGCAGAGCCTCTGGCTTGATGCTGCATCTTACCAGTTGAGTCAGCCCCGGAAGCCCTGCCACTCATCTTCTCCTCAGCATTGATGAGCTGCAGGTCTGTGTATGAAGGACCAAAACTAGGACTGCTGGTGTCTTCAGAATGGGTGGTCCAGCTGCTCTCAGAAGCCAGAGGACATCTCCCCAGGGAGTCGAAGGAAGGGCATGTCCAGCAGGGCATGGTCAATGGTAGAGCTGGGGACAAAAACAAAAGTGTACAATATAAATAGGAGTACATAGTTATCTCTAGTTCTTGTCTTAGTTTGATGTCACTCAATCCTATGAAATCTCAACATCCAAGCAAAGCAAGGAAATACAGGAAGATCCAGAGAAAGATGAATGACCAAGACCCTGGGTGAGTCAGTATCAGAACTAGCATTAAAACTCAGATATCATGAACCTCAAATCAAAGAAAACCTCATTAGATGGCTAAGAATAATTTTAAGGTCTAATTTTATTTCTCTTTTTAGATTTTGAGCTTCATTCAAATCCAAAACACACGTCTCCCTGTTTCACCTTTGTTGTTGCTATGGTTAGTTGCTGTCGAGTTTAATTCTGACTCATGGTGACCCATGTGTGCAGAGCAGAACTGCTCCATAGGGTTTTTAAGGCTGTGACCTTTTATAAGGTCTGTCTCCCACCAGCCTTTCAGTGAGTACTCAAGCTTAACCGTCTGCATCATCCAGGGACTCCAGTTGCACCCTTACCCTTTTATTTCCTCCATATTTGGTGGCATACCAACCACCTCAAGAAAACACACTCATTTACTCTATAAAATCAGAGCCAGATTAGGTCAAAGGGTCAGAGTAGATAAATACATGTATACATGCATGGGATATGCTTCTGCCTGCTCTGAATGTGACTGTAACTGGAGAGTCCCCAAAACAAAACACCTGTAGCTCCCATGGAGTGCGGTGGGTTTGAACTGCCAAACTTCTGGTCCACAGCTGAGCGCTTAATCACTGTGCCAGTGAGGCTCCTCCAAACACACCCGAGAGCACAGCAATGCTCTTGCTGCTTTTTCATACATGAGAACCACAAGCATATACTTACATGTTATGAATACTCTGAGAGAATATTTCTACGTATGTACTTATATGTGCTGCAAATATATCCAAGAATATAGTAGCGCATACAGGGGCAAACTTATGAAACTTTCTTAGCCATAATCAAACACCTTGAGGGAATGAGTTGCTAGGCCTGGGGGCTCAGGATCGTAGTCTCAGGGGACATCAGAGTCAACTGGCATAACAACAGTTCATGAAGACAATGTTCTACATCCTACTTTGGTGACTAGGGGCTGGGAGTCTTAAAAGCTGTGAGTAGCCATCTAAGATGCAACCATTGGTCTCTTCCCATCTGGAACAAAGAAGAGTGAGGAAAATCAAAGATATATGGAAACAATTAGTCCAAAGGAGTAATGGACCATGTGAACTCTAGCCTCCACTACCCTGAAACCGGAGGAACTAGAGTACGTGACTATCACTGCTAACCACTCTGAGAGGGATCACAATAGGAGGTCTTGGATAGAGTGGGGGAATGAATGGGAATAAAACTCACAATCACAGAAAAGACCGGCTGACTAGTCTGGTAGAGACTGGTGGAACTCCTGAGACTATGGCCCTTAGACACCCTTCAAGCCTGGAACTGAACTCACCCCCATGGCTCAACATATGTTGTTGTTACTTGTTGTTATGTGCCGTCAAGTCGGATCTTACTCATAGTGACCCCTCCTTGGGTTTCCGAGGCAGTATCACTACAGAAGTAGATTGCCCCATCTTCCTTCTGAGGAGTGGCTGGTGGGTTTGAACCATCAGCCTTCTGGTTAGCAGTCAAGTGCCTTAGGGTGAACAGTAACACCAGGGAGGTACACACTCCTTAGAACAATCAACCATGTGAGATCAAAAGGGCAGCATTTGCCCAGGCATAAAGCCAAGAAGACAGGCAGGGACGGGAAAGAGGAACAAACAGAAACAGGAAATACAAGGAGGAAGAGGGAAGAGTACTACCACATTGTGAGGATGGAAATCAATGGCACGAAACAAAATGGGTATAAGCTGTTGAACAGAAAACAAATTTGCTCGTAAACTTTCACCCAAATCACAATAAACAGGTAAAAAGAAAAAAAGAATGTTTATAGAAAATAAAATAAGAGTGCTCATATATGCATCATTCTTAATTGGTAAAAAGTAGAATCAACGCAAATAGCCAAAAATAATAAGAACAATTAAGTGAACTGTAGTATATTACCTATAACGGAATACACAGCAATAAAAATAAAGGAATCATAACTACAGGTAACCACACAGAAAAGTCTCACAAGCCTATATTGTTAAAACAACAAGCACAGAATAATAAATTCAGCATTATTCCATCTATATAAAGTTCAAAACCAGGCAGGTTATGCTGTAGTAAAGCTGTCAGGAAAAGCAAGGTAGTTATTTTCACAGAGCTCAGGACGGTGGTGACATGGGGGAAGGAGGAGATCTAAGGAGGAGGAGGGCATGATTAGGAGGGAAATGGGAGCTTCTGGGGAGAGGCAATATTCCATTTATCAAAGTGGCTGATGTTGTTCTTTGCAATTTAACACACATTTTAAATATGTTCCTTTATTTTTATTCAACAGCTAACAAAACTTATTAAAACTATATTTCAAAAAACATCCCTGTTTCTCAGAAAGGAACCTATTTTAATTTTTTGTATTTCACATTGGCCCTTTACATTTACTACATAAAATGCAATGCTTCCCTTAAAGGAGAAACTAAGAATAATGCAGCCGGGAAAGGCTAATCCCTATATGTCACAGATCGTTCTTGTTCAGTCTAATGCACTCTCTACATTAGCTTAGAAATTCTGGGTAAGTCATTTTATTTAGGTTCCTAATGAAATATCCTATGGAGACAAGATTAGTGGAAAAGTGAGAGAAGTATTGAGCCTGGGGCAGACTCCTCTCTCAGAGGCCACACTTCTGATACCTGGGCCAGATAGCAGCAGGCTGTGGGCATCCCTAAGCTTCATAGCCATAGGCATCTAGTAAGAAATAAATAAGAAGACAGAGAACTCTGCCTCGTCTCTATTTCCCTACGAGAGAAAGAGGAAGGGTCATAGGACCAGACCATCGGGTTCACATGCTCACATCTAGCCTCATTTTCTGGGGCAAGTTACTTAATCTGTTTGTGCCTCCATTTTCTTGCCTGTAAAAATGGGACCAACAGTAGTACCTAGCCTCACAGGGGGAATAAGTTAATACTGACAAAGTACTTAGAAAAGTGTCTGGTACACAGAAAGTACTCATTGGGTTGATGTTGGTTGTTATTATTTACAGACATCTCTATGACCAAATCTACCTGTAATCTCCACTTAGATACCTAACTTTTATGTCTCTCAACTAAAAAGACTCACTGCCATCGAGTTGAGTTGATTCAACTCATAGCGACTCTCCTTGAGTTTCCAAGGCAGTATCACTACAGAAGAGATTACCCAGTCTTCCTTCCGAGGAGTGGCTGGTGGTTCTGAACCGCCAGCCTTCTGGTTAGCAGTCAAATGCCTTAGGCACTATGCAACCAGAGCTCCCTACTTTTATGTCTATTCCCTCCAAACTAGCTCCTCCATCCTTAGAGCTGCTCAGAATGAAACCTTGGTGTCATCCTAGATTCTTCTCTTTCTTTTACATCTGGTCCATCACAACTTCAAAATACACTCACTCCAACTTATCGACATGGTTAAGATCCAAAGACCAGGTCATTATGTGAAAATCAGCATTCTGCAAAAATAGAGGATGACCATATCAGATCACAAAAGGGAGGATGACTACATCATAAACTAACTACCAGATTACATCATTACATAACTACCAAACCACTGAGTATCATGGCTCAGCCAAGTTGACACATAACCTTAACCATCACAGCTAGACCTTAACCCTCACCTCATACCTAGACAGCTTTCATCACTGCCAGATGTACGTCATTAATGCACAAAATAATCGGACAGTAGTTTTTTTTTTTTTTTAAACTATTGTAGTAAATGCAAAATGCTAGCTAACAAGGCAGTTAGTAAGTAAGGAGTAGGTACACATATGAAATCCAGTCACTTCTCACCATCTCCAAGATACCACCCTGGCTCAAGCCATCATCTTCTCTTGCCTGGATTTCTGCAGTGGCCTCCTACCTGATGTCCCTACTTCTACATTTGTCCTACAACTATTTAGTCTATTCTCAAAACAGTGCCACTCAGTTTTAATAGAATTATCTGTTAAAACTTAAGTCTGATCATTCTACATCCTAGCTCAGAACCTTTCAGTGGTTTCCCATCTCATTAATAATGAAAGTCAAGGTCCTCCTCATGCCCGCCAAAGACCCATGGCATCTCAACGCTCAGATCCCTACCTCACCCTCTCTCTTCTCCTGACATTCACTCCACTCTAGTCATGTACCAGGAGTCCCTGGCTGGTGCAAATGGTGAATGTGCTCAGCCACTAAGCGAAAGGTGGGCGTCCACCAGAGGTTCCTCGCAAGAAAGGACTGGCAACCTACTTCTGAAAAACCAGCTACTGCAAACCCGACAAAGGACGATTATACTCCGACACACAGGGTTGTTGGAGGGCTCAATCAACTCAAGATAACTGTTCTTTTCTTAATCAGGCACACAGCTGTGCCTCAGGGGCTTTTCACTTGCTTTTCCTTCCACCTGAAAGCTCCTTCCTTAATTTCCTCAAGGCTTACTCCTTCACTTCCCTCAGGCCTTCACTCACCTCTCAGAGTCACCCCCCACCTTATGTAAATCTCCCACCCCACCTTGCCATATTGCCTGCCTTGCTTCAGTTTTCTCTCCTCTGCACAGATCACATCTTCCAATACGCTTTACTCTGAATTAACTTTTTTTTTTCCGTTATGTTTCTGGTATAGTTCCCCCACAGAAGGCATGTTCCATGGGCATGAGTATTCAGCAATATCTCCAGCACCCTGAACAGAACGCTGCTAGTGACTGGCAGGTAGTGGGAGCTTAAAATAACACTGGTTGGATGAATAATAAACTTACAAGTTGTCAGCTAATACGACGAACACAGCTAATATAAACTCTCTTTTTATAACTTTGGGTCCTGAGTAGAGTAACATTTTAAATACATACATGTTTTGTTGCCCTGACCTTTATTAATATTTTTATGTCTAATCACTAGGACTGTGTGATTTTCT